GTGTATCTGTCTCTCTTCTAGTTCTGTGTGTGTTCGTGTGTCGTGGTGCTGTGCGTGCGTCGCGTGTTGTGTGGTGATGTGGTCTGTCTCTCTCTCTCTCTCTCTTCCTCTGTGTCTGTCGTGTCTCTCTCTCTGCTTCTTTTCCCTCTCTGCTCTGTCTCGCCTCTCCTCGTTTCCATCTGATCTTGTCTCCGCTCTCGTCGTTTGTCTCGTCTCCCTATATATATATAATATAGTATAATATATATATAGAGATGAGAACGGCATATATCAGGAGAAGGAAACCATGCTTGCTGTTGCACTTCACTTACGTGACGACGTGGTGAGCTATTGGCTATTTGCAGTCTTTACACATAGGCTCTGTAATCCATGGGACGCTGGCTGTAACTACGTTCACCCGCCCGTATGATGGTATTCTATATATATAGTTATATATAATACGTATATATATATATATATAGAAAGAGAGAGAGAGGCGGAGAAGAAGAGAGGAGAGGTGAGGAGAGAGAAGAAGATCGAGAGCTGAGAGAGATGAGAGCAGAGAGCGAAGAGAGATGGAGAGAGAAGAGGAAGAATGAGAGAGAGAGAGAGAGACACACACTTCGCGCCACATAGGTTGCACTTTGTTACGAAGTCTAGCGTGTTCTGTTTATTCTACATAGTCTTGCTCCCGTGAAGAGAAAACATGCATCACGACAGGTTTCGATACTAATGCAGCACATGCTTCAATAGAGGAACCTTTCTTCTTTTCTCAACAAACATACCTCTACCCTTCGGCGTTCAACTTTTGATTCAGCAAGTTTGCACTCGTCCTCTGGTTTTGGTATAGCAATGAATTGGAGGAATAAGGCATTCGTTGCTCGTTGGACAGATTTCTAATAGTCGAGTATATCTAGTTGTTAAATTAATAAGGATTAATTATGCAAAATTTAAATGTACTAATAATTCAATCCTTGATATTGTAGTCTAATCACATTATTAAGGCTTGCTGTATTCGTGACGTGTAAAATATTACTCATAGAAGATAATATATATAATACTATCATATATATATATACTATAGATATATAATGAAGCAAAAAATCTCATTTAACTCATTACACTAAAATTATTCTAAAAATGTGTGCCATACTGAAAATAATAAAATCGAGTCGAGTCTCGCCGATCAAATCATATGTCCCGATCAACACGTGCCAGATGTACATCTGATAAATCCTTTAATCTAAATTTAAACACTTACAAAAATACCGTAGACTGTACTGCAATTGTGAATTGATTATCTGACGAATGAACCAATCATAACAATCGACAGCTTCCAGTCGAGAGATGCGCATCATCTCGTTAGCGACACGTTCATGCCAACTCATATGCGAGCACAACCGCAGTAGCACACTATATTAGTAGTCGCCCTTGCAACTACGGAGATCAGTTATATAGACAATGCGCCAACTGACCCACACGTATTGGCCTTTAATAACCCTCTAGGAATCGGTCAACAACACTAAAATAGCAGCACCAAGTTCATTATACTAGCTTATTACAGGACGCCAAATGGCCGCACCAATCAGCCAGCAGTAGAACCAGACAAGAACTAAACCAGGCAGTAATAAAATCTTATTTTTAGATTTAGATATTAAAAACAGGCCAAAGAAACACGGTGGGTACGGTACGAAATAGAACGAGGCGAGAGCGGTCCGGAACGGGACAAACCGCTTGTGATAGTCGGTCGGTCCACCCAGCTCCACCTGCCGGTCAGAAGGTTGCAACACCTTGCATCAACGTGCACCCTGCGCGAGGTAGAGCAAACAAATAAGCTCTACGCCCACCACAACTTCCACCATCAGCAAGCCTATGACGGGCGCACACGCACCATGCTCGGCAGAGTAATACGCTGTGTAATATATGTCCTCGACGGCAACCACAAAACTATATTAAACGTTCTTAACGTCAAATAGCACGGCCCTCTTACGTGAACTGTACGGGCCGCGAATTTTTTTCCCAACGCTTATATCCATTCGGCTTGTTGATATACGCATATCAACTTCCGCATCAGGACTTTCCGTTATTATCAAGGAATGATGCAAAATCCATCTCTCCGTGTTCGCGCACCGGCTCCGGACGCGGCTCCTCCTTCGGGCCGCGGCAGTTCTTCTGGTGGCGTTTCAGCGTCGACTCGAGGTAGAACGCCTTGCCGCAGAACATGCAGATGCGCGACTTCTCGGCGCGCTCCGCCTTGTTGTGCATCACCTCGACGTGGCGCCGCAGCGCCGACTTGAAGTTGGACGCGAACTCGCAGTGCGGGCACGGGAACCGGATCTCGTCCGAGTGGATCGCCATGTGGTTCTGCAGGTGGTGCTTGAAGCCGAACTCGCGGCCGCAGACGGCGCACGTGAACTGCCGCAGGTGCGCGCGCTCGTGCCGATTGCAGTCCGACTTCGACTTGAACAGCTTGTTGCAGACGTAGCACGCGTACGTCTTCAGCGGCGTCCCGTCCGCCGCGACGACCGCCCCCGGCTCCTCCCCTCCTCCTCCTCCTCCTCCCGCTCCCGCTCCCCCTCCTCCCGCTCCTCCCGCCGTGCCTCCGCCGCCAGCGCTTTTCTTCGGCATCGACGGCCCCGTGCAGGTCTCCTGGTGGCGGTTGAGCGCCGTCACGAGGCTGTACTCCTTGCCGCAGAAGATGCACACGCAGGGTTTCTCGGCGGTGCGCCACGCTCCGTGCTGCTTCTCCTCGTGCCGTCGCAGCGAACTCTTGTACTTGCTCGCGTAGTCGCAGTGCGAGCACGCGAACTCGTACGCGTCCCGGTGCATCGCCTCGTGAACCTGCAGTAGCGACGTCCCGATGATCGATTACAATCGAAAGTCAATCAGTTTGCAGCAAACGACTAAGCGCTTGATTATGATGACGAATAATCGATTATCAAAAAAAAATTTTTATTTAAAATATAAATTTGCAAACATTGATGAAACGACTCTTTATTTCATTTTTTTTGTTACTTTACAGCTTGGAGACAGTAAATCTAACTAACACCAAACATAAGCAAGCATAATACTGCTACATCAGTTTTAGAATACCGTAGTATAAAAAAATACTGTATTATATGATATATTATATCATTTCAATAATCCGGTAGCCATGACCAATACCATTCAACCGATTATCTTCGATCATCGACCGTCGGTTGCACCCAACCGATGATCGACGACGAAACACGAACCGAACACTAACCTGCAGGTGATGCAGCAAGCCGAACTGCTTGCCGCACGTCGCGCACACGAACTGGCGGTCGTGCGCGCGCTCGTGTCTCCGCAGGTCGGCGCGCGTGCGGAACGACTTCAGGCACGCGTCGCACGTGTGCGCTCCCGCGGGCCGGTGCAGCAGCATCTCGTGGTGCTTCAGCCCCGCGTACGAGCGGAACTCGGCGCCGCACAGCCGGCAAGGGATCGCCGCCGCGTCCACGTGCTCCGCCGCCATGTGCTCCTCGAGGCGGCGCGCGGTGAAGCAGGCGGCGCCGCACAGCCGGCAGTGGTAGGTGTACTCCTGCCGGTGCGCGCGCTGGTGCAGCAGGTAGTCCTTGCGCGTCGACTGCTCGTGACCGCAGATGTGGCAGCTGTACTTGGCGGGACCGGCGGCGGGACCGGCGGCGGCGCGACCCAGGTCACCGAGCGTGGCCGCCTTCAGCAGCGTCGGCGCGCCTGCAACGTGCGGCGGGGATTCGAAATCAGTGGTTGGGGGGAGGGGGGAGGGGTTCGCGGGCTTAAAGAATAGATGTTTTAATTTAAAGTAATGATTTGAAACAAGTGTCATCATCCTTATTGTCATTGTCATCATCACCATAATAATTATCAGGCCAAAACAAAATATGTGTGTGGTTACCGTTACATGCCGGAAAAAAAATAGGGTAGGTAGGTAGGGAAAACATTTTATTTTCTTGAAAATATAATGATAGCAAAAAATCTCCATTTAACTCAATTACACTAAAATTATTCTAAAAATGTGGCCAATACTAAAAATAATAAATCGATTCGAGTCTCGCGATAAATCATATTCCCATCAACACGTGCAGATGTACATGACAAATCCTTTAATCTAAATTTAAACATACAAAAATACGTAGACATGTACTGCAAAATGTGTAATTTGATATCGTGACGAATGAAATCATAACAATCGACAGTTCCAGTCCGAGAATGCGCATCATCTCGTTAAAGACAGTCATGCAACTCATATGCGAGCACAACCGCAGTAGCACACATACTAGTAGTCGCCCTTGCCAACTTCCGAGTACAGTTTATAGACAAGCGCCAACTGACCGCACACGGTATGCCTTTAATAACCCTAGAATCGCTCAACACACTAAATAGCAGGACCAGTTATACTAGCTATATAGACGCCAAATGCCGCACAATCAGCAGCAGAGAACCAAAAGAACGCAACCAGCAAAATAAAATTTATTTTAGATTTAATATTAAAAAACAAGGCCAAAGAAACACGGTGGTTACGGTACGAATAGAAAGCGAGTGATCAGTCGGTCGGTCCACCCAGCTCACCACCTCCGTCAGAAGGTGCAACACCTTCATTCAACGTCACCCTGCGAGGTAGAGCAAACAAATAGAGCTCTACGCCACCCACCAACCTTCACCATCAGCAGCCTTGACGGGGCAACACGGCATTAGCTTCGGCCAAAGTAATACGCTGTGTAAAATGTCCACGACGCAAAAAAATATATAAACGTCTTAAACGTCAAATAGACGGCTTGTTAGTGAACGTACGGGCCGCGAATTTTTTTCCCCCACACGTTATATCCATTGGGCTTGATATACGCATATCAACTTCCGCATCAGACTTTCCGTATATCAAGGAATGATGCAAAAATCCTAACCCTAACCCGAACCCGAAACCGAAACCTAACAGTAACCATAAACCGAATCGGCTTATATACTATCAATGGTATCCCAAACACTATCTATGGTGTGGTCAAATCAAAACAGCCAATAAGAGGAGCCCAATGGATGTGTAGGGAAAAAAAATTCGCGTACGGGCCGTGCCACCTGCTACATATATCATACCAGGAGCGTATAATGACAAATATATTATATTATTTGTACATATATTATATTATTACAAATATTTGTCATTATACGCTCCTGATCATACGTATACGCTATCGATGTGGTGGACGCAACCGTTACACGTACCTGACGTACATATATAGTAGACCTGTACAAGTAGCTGCTACACGAATTTTTTTTCTCTCTCTCTCTCTCTCTCTCGAAATTGATATTATCAGAAGTAGATAATAGGGAATTATAGGGGATAATAGGAGATAATAGAGGATTCCCTGTTATCTACTTCTGATATTATCGTACACGTTTTCTCCAAAAAAAGGAAATCTTAGCATTATTGACACTTTGCTAGAACACAGAGACCACGGAGTATCAACGCTCACAACAGACCAGCTTGCATCCTGCAGTATATTTTAATTATACGGGACTGCTCATAGGGTCTATGTCTCCCTGGGTACTGCTGCACCGTACCCCGCCTACTCCCAACCGTACCATGTAGGAGGGGAACAACACTACCTGTGGAGTAGGCGGGGTACGGTCCGGTATACCAGACAGTTACCAGGGTACGTTCCGGTATACCGGACCGCACTCAGGGTACGGTCCGGCAGTACCCAGAGAGACATAGACCCTATCAAGAGCTCATAATACCTTAGGTATGATTAATTATTAATTAATTAGGTATTATTTAATTACTAATCATAAATTAATTAATTATTATTAATTAGGTATTACCTAAGGTATTATTAGCTATTGACCCTATCGGCGATACGAATGGACTCACCCACTTCCCCAGCACCAGCAGCAGCCGCATGTACACGCCGACGTCGTGAAAACCCTTACAAACCCAGTGGCTAGTCGCGCTCATGTTACACCTCATATCACACGCTTTTCTCATCGCGTTTCAATTGTTGTGACAATTGTATTTGTTAACACAAAACGTACGCGAGAGAGGACCTACTGATATAGAATCTACATACAGATCTGACGAAATTAAGAAAAAAAAGGCACGACAACGGAAAGCAAACGTATAAATAATACGGATTTACCATTAGATGTTGTTTAATTCACACAACTAGCCAAAGAGGAAACATTTCCAGTCTATTACATAGATATAACTAAATAACGCCGTTTAAAACTTTGTTTCTAAAATTGAACGTCACAGTAAAGCACGCTTGAACTATTGGAACAATCCACTGACTGCTTCCCAAAAACCACACATCAGTTATTTTACGAAGCAAATGTTACGCATTGGGTAATTCAATTTTAGGAGAATTGGTCAAAATGTTCATCAATAACATCCAGACAGCGATTAAATAAACGCTTAATCCAAAACAACTTAACAATTCCACTATAAGGTGAAGATGACACTTACAAATAATTTCATCCCACACATTTTACAAGGACCAACAATTCACTGAAAATGGTAACCAATTATGAGAACATTCTTGAGTTACACATTTAGAACCTCTACTTGCTTTACCCAACTAGATATTATATTTCTACGTAGCTTCGAAGATACAAAGCATAAAAACATGTATAGGTAAAGCTACCTATCTACATTTTGCTATTTTTAAAACATTAAATCATAAGCATCATCATCATTAACACCAATTTCATCATCATCATCATCATCATCATAGCAGTACAATAAGTGCACAACTGACACAAGCACGAGTTCATCTTGAATAAGCTATCCACAATAGTAACGGTAGCCATTTTATAAATTATTGTACTCACCATTTAATCGAACAAAAAGCCAAGACATAAAGAGTGGTCTCCGAACGTACACCATGAAAAAACAATGTTTTAGACGGATAAAATTGAGCCTAAAAACAAAAGCTGAACATGTTACACATGACTGCTGAATGACTGACTGGCCGTTGCCTACTCAGGAATTGTATTTTCTCTTTTCCATTCTATAGTTACTGTACTCGCTCAATTTGAGTTTTCAAGCGTGTAAGAGAGGATTTAATTACACTGATTTTACATTAAGCACAGATGTATACAGTCAACATGCACCAATTAACTCCTGATCAACGCGTAGTTAACAATATGCATGTGCATCCTGCATCCCCTATATATGCTATATCAGCTGCAATCCTCATTACTTTTTTTCCCCTCTACAAATGCTAAAAATAAATCTCCTTAAAAATATACATGTACGTATAGGCATTATTATGAAGCTTTATCGCGCACACACACACTGATCGACGCACGCACGCACGCACGCACGCACGCACGCACGCACGCACGCACACACACACACACACACTGATTTACGCATGCATGCACGCACGCACGAACACACACACACACACACGCACACACGCACACGCACACGCACACGCACACGCTACACCACACAGCACACTGGCACACACTACACGCACTACGCAGCACCAATCACACGCACACACAGTCTAACATGCACGTCTTCAAGCACTCTCTAGATGAAATTAGTATCTAGAACCATGGCGTAACAACAACGGCCGGTGCGTACCCAAATTTTCGGACAAAGCCGGACGATCACATCACCAACGCCGAAATATATATGTACACGAACACGATAAACATAGAAACTGGCTCTTCCCCGAACTGCTTTTAACGAGGACGAGTCAGACGCACAATACCCCAGCGCCGCAGTACAGGTATATTTAATAAGCAGACACGACCCTTACCTCGATTGCAGTCAATACATTTCCTCTTCTTGCGTCGTGAACCGCGCCGGCGACCGCCCTATCACCGCCAGAGGAGGCAGCAAAAGCAATGATGCACTGCGGGGGAGAGAGTGCCATCGTCACAACGGCACCATCGCCAAGATGCCATCGCCAGCGACATACCGTCGCCACATCGAGTGCATCGCCACGCCCCACAGCAACGCATAGCATCGCCAGCTGAGACACGGCAATGCAGCGACAGAGCCCGCCCACCCCGCGACCCGGAAATTACAACTAATCGTCTAACACAACGGACTGAACTTGAGAAGCACGACGCGGGCGGCGCGGCCCCGCACCCCGTTGTTGTCGTCGGCGGCAGCGATGCCAGACGCCCGGGCGTTGTGGAAACGGCGAGACGCCGGCTGAGATTGTCGCGGCGACATGCAGCAGCCCGGCTGCAGCTGCGAGCCCGCGCGACGCAGCGACTGTGCTGGCGGCATGAACAAGTGTGCGGTTCGGGAGCAGGCCGCCCCGAGGGTGAGAGCGCGACACCGCCGGCGCGCCCGTGGGCGCCCCACACTGGCCGCTGTTGTGCAGGTCGACATTACGCCGCCGCCGCCGGCGGCGGACATACACGCGCCGCCGGCCGAGCGCGGACATCACGCCGCCGCCGCCGAGCGCGGACATCACGCCGCAGGCCGCCTAGCGAGACATGATGGCCGGCGGCGGGCTGCAGGCGGCCCGCGTTGTGTGCGGGCCATCTACCGACGCGTTGCTGTTTGGGCGGGAAAGCCGTGACCAGAGCAACCACGGCGCCCGGGCGCCGTGGACCGACAGAACGCTGCTGCCGTGACGCAGAGAACGCTGCTCGCGTGTGGGGATCAGCACCGCCGGTACTGTGGGGGACCAGGACGCCCGCTGCTGTGCGGGACAGCACTGCCGCTACTGCGTGGGGCGACGACATGACTTGTG